TCTTCAAGTATCAAATCAGTAAAAACCCAAGGAGCCACCCTCTTAGACCACTGCTTAAAGTAAATCTTTGTACATTGCTAAAGTTTTCATTATGTTCCATGATTTCTTGGCATAACCTCTTCCAAAGTTTATTGTTAATTTACAAACCCAGTGTATACCACAAATTTATTTAAACATTTGAGAGAGTGGTTGCACACGCATTTAATCCCAGCACTCAGGAGGCGAGGCAGGCGGATCGCTGTGAGTTCAAGGCCAGCCTGCTCATAGTGAGTTTCAGGACAGCTGGGGCTACAAGGAGACCCTGTCTCAAAAAGACAAAATTAAAAAAAAAAGTAAAGTTGGGGCTGAAGAGATGGCTCAGTGGTTAAGAACAGTGGCTGTTCTTGCAGAAGACCTGAGTTCAAATCCCAACACCTACATGGCAGCTAACAAGTGTCTGAAATTCCAGTTCCAGGGGATCTGACAGCCTCTTCTGTCCTCTGTGGGCACTGCACAACACAGGTGCACTCACCTATGTGCAGGCAATACATGCATACACATAAAATAAATATAATAAATAAAATATTTAAAAAATAAAGTTAGGGGCTGGAGAGATGGCTCAGCAGTTAAGAGCACTGGCTGCTCTTGCAGAAGACCTGGGTTTGAGTCCCAGTACCCACATGGCAGCTGACAACTGTCCATAACTCCAGTTCCAGGGGATCCGATGGCCTCTTCTGTCCTCTTTTACATACATGCAGATAATACACTCATACACATAAAATAAAAAAATAAAATAATTAAAAAAAATGTTAGCCTGCCCCAGGAATTTCCTTATTAACAAAAACCAGGCCAGTAACACCTAGTCTCTCGCAGCATCCAAGCCGAGTATTCCCGCATGGTCCTCTCCTCATGCAAAGTAAGGCCTTTAATCCTTGGACTGGCCCTGCTCCCTGTCCACTCGGCCACACAGGCGCCTTCCTGTTCTGGAGACTTGCTGGGGGATCCCCTACCTCTGTCCTTGTAACTCAAATCCTCAGAGAGGCTTACCTTGATGATAGCCCAAAAGCTGTCACTGCCCAAACTGAAATGTTCCAGTTCTAAGCCACCTCACCAGTGCCTCTGAATGCCACTGTATTTGGAGGTCAAGACTTTATAGAGATAACTAAGTTAAGGTGGGTCTTAAGTCAGTAACTGGCTTTAACGAAGAACACAGGGAGACACACAGGACAATATCTACAGCCCCACTGCTCTCTTGACTTCAGACTTCCAGTTTCCTGAAGACAGATTTCTGTGGTGCTTCGTGTGCCAGTCCAGCAGACCTACGCCCATGACCACACTCTGCTGTTCTGCACTTGCCCTTCCCACTGACCTCTGATTCCTGGCTGGTGTTCACCTTCTGCGCCCGACAGCACCCAGCACCTCTAGCACACTCCCTTGCTGAGGGCGATGTTCACCACCTGTGACCTGGCTGGTCCCCGCACCCGGCACCCCTGTGCGAGCTCTACGTAAGGCCGGAACTGCTTCCCTTTACTTTTTTCAGAGATTGATTTATTTCTCGCTTATGGTATGAGTGTTTGCCTGCATGTATGTAAACGAACCATGTTCATGTGTGGTGCCAGGAGAAGCCAGAAGAGGGCATGGGTCAGAACACTGGAACTGGAGTTACAGAGGGTTGTGAGCTGCCCTGTGGGTGGTGGGAGCTGAACCCGGGTCCTCTGCAAGAGCAGCCTGTGCTCTTAACCACTGAGCCATCTCTCCAGCTCACAAACCTTTTTCTCCACTCATACATTACAAGCTCCTCTAACAGAGTGTGGGCAGATGAATTTAGGACTCTGGTACCTGCACCCCCATCCCTGGGAGCCTGTCTTCAGGGAGGGCTGTGAAGGCATGGAAGCCAGGACTTCATGGAGCTGCCTGCAGATGTAGTATGACAGTGAAGCAGGAAGGAATGTTCCTGAAATGGTTTTCTGTCCTGACCTTCTAACTCCCCTCTTCCCTGCCCAGGCTTCTCCAGGTCAGCAAGTGGCATCCAGACCAGAAACCAGAGAACGGCCTGGACCTTTCCCTGCCCTGAGCAAAGCCCACACATCCTTGCACAGTTTCCTTGACACACTCTCTACCCAGTCTACATATGCAGCATTCACAGTTCACACATACAGCCCTGACATACAGCCTACACACACAGCTTACACTCACAGTCCACACATACAGCCCCGACGTACATAGAGCCTACACAGAGTTTACACACGGTCACCCCACATACAGCCTACACACAGCTTACACTCAACAGTCCACACGTACAGTTCACATACACTGCCCCCCCCCAGCTTACACTCAAAGTCCATACATCCAGCCCCCACATTCAGCCTATACACACTGCTTATATACAGTTCACACATACAGTCATACACGCCCCCAGCTTATACTTGCAGTCCCCGCCCCGACACAGCTACACTTGCAGTCCACATGTGCAGCTCACATATACAGCCCCCACATACACAGTAGTCCACACATATAGCCTACATATAGCTACACTTGTAGTCCACACATACAGTCACACATACATCCCATGCATACATCCCCCACACACAACTCACATCACATGCAATCCCCCCACACAGCTCATACATGCACCCCACGTTCTTTGCTGTGTCTGTCTTCCTAGGACAGGCCAGCTCGGACAGGGACAAGGCTGGACCCGGCTCCTGGCTGCCCCCGGCCCAGTGGCTGCCCCCGGGGCGCAGGGCTGGGATCCTGGCTGGTCTCTGCAGAGCCCCGGGCCCGCGGAGGGTGCACCCCACCTTGAGCGCGCTCACCTTTACCGAGACGCCCCTCCAGGTGCAGAAGGCCTGGTGGGCGGCGCGCACGGCGGCGCGGGCCTCGGGCACCCCGCAGTCGGCCACCGAGCCCAGCACCGCGCCACTGGCGGGGTCGCGCACCGGGAAGGTGCTGGTGGCGGGCAGCCAGCGGCCGCCCACGAAGCTGTCCCCGCGCAGCAGGTCAGGCGGAAGCCCGGCGGGGCCCCGGGAGCTGCGGAGCCTGG